CAAATTTTCAACCATGGGTGTAATCTCAATAATACAGCCCTTACAAAAAAAGATTCTGCAGGAACTCATTCGCAACTTCATCATTTCTTACCTGAACAACCATGAGCATTCTAGGGAGTGGAATAGGAATGTGATGAACAACTGGTAAATAAATTATGAAAGGGAGGATGGTGCCATTGTTCTTGATGAAGTAATGAAGCAACCTCCTTTAATGATGAAAAGAGTGTGGATTTGGAACTCATTCATGAAGAATGTGACTCTTGCTTGCTGCCCCTTTATTTCACACACCATTATACCATACCATTACACCAGAAGGCACAGCTTACAAGACAACAATGTGAGCTTTTACCTCTGGTTAACCAGTAAGCACAGAAAACCTACAGTCACCCAACGGCAATTCTGCATATACCAGTATGCCCACATTGGTTGCTGTGCCAGGCACAGAAAACACTACCATCTGCACTCAGACAAAAGTGGTGATGATGGTGACATTTACATGATAAATCTAGGTTCCAGAATCCATATCTATCTGAATTTTCCTTTTTTCCTTTTCGATATTGGCAATTATTATTAAACACTCAGGTTAGCTGGTGGTTTTTCTATTTTATTAGTTGTTTGTATTTTTAAAATAGCTCCTAGTTTTATCAATGAAAATTTTTTTTGTTTTTTATTTTATCTCTTCCTTGATTTTCAGAATTTTTGTTTCTGTGTTTTTTGACTTGTTGCTTTTTTAACTTTTTTTTTTTGATTGCATGTTCAGTTCATTGATCTGTTCTTTCTCACTTTTATTGATGAAAGAGTTTGGTGATATAAATCATCCCTCAAGAATTCATTTGGCTATATCCTAGAGGGTGTGGCATTTGGTCTCATAATTTTCTTTGATAAAAATATTTATTGTTTTTGTGATTTGTTCTTTGATGTACCAATTTTTAAGGATAAAGTCAGTCTCCATTTAAATTTGAATCCTTTGTTCAAAGGCTTTGTGTTGATTATAATTTTTTTTATTGAGTTGTGGTCAGCAAAGCATATGTTTACTATCTCTATTTTTCTGCATGTAGTTTGTATGCCCTGGTGGTTGGCCTGTTCTTGTAAAGTACTTTGCACAGCTGAGAAATATGAATATTTTGTTCTATTCTTATTCAGTAATTGCCAGAGATCTACACATAACTTGAGGCAGTTAGGTAATGAATCAGGGTAGAGTGCCAGACTTGGAATAAGGAAGACCCAAGTGTAAATTCTACCTCAAACATTTATATGACCTAGGGTAAGTCACTTAACTTCTCTTTGCCTCAGTTACCTCGTCTGTAAAATGAGGATTGTAACAGCATTGACCTTATATGGTTGTTGTTAAGATCAGATGAGATCATTATTTAAAGTGCTTTTCATGCCTTAACGTATTATATAAATCTTAGCTATTATTATATTTCACCACAACAGAGTTAACTATAGGTGAAAACAAAATAAAATTCTTTTTATTTTTTTATTTTATTTTTTAAAAATTAATTTATTTTTAGTTTTCAACATTCACTTCTATAAGCTTTTGAACTTTCTCCCCTCCCTCTTCATCTCCCTCCCCAAGATGGTGTGCAATCGGATATAGGCTCTACATATACATTCCTATTAAACATTTTTTCACATTAGTTATGTTGTAAAGAAGAATTAGAACCAGTAGCAGGAACCACAAGAAAGAAGAAAGAAAACAAAATAGAAGGGAAAAAAAGAACAGATAGTATGCCTCGATCTGCATTCCAACTCTGTAGTTCTTTCTCTGGATGTGGATAGCATTTTCCATCACAAGTCTTTTGGAATTGTCTTGGATCATAGTATTGTTGAGAAGAGCGAAGTCTACCATAGTTAATCATTGCACAGTGTTGCTATTTTTGTGTACAATGTTCTCCTGGTTTTGCTCACTTCACTCAGCATCAGTTCACGTAAGTCTTTCCAGGTTTTTCTGAAAACCATCTGCTCATCATTTCTTATAGCACGATAGCATTCCATTACATTCATATACCACAACCCGTTCAGCCATTCCACAATTGATGAGCATCCCCTCAACTTCCAATTCTTTGAGACCACAGAAAGAACTGCTATAATTCTTTTTGTACATGTGGGTCCTTTTCACATTTTTATGATCTCTTTGGAATACAGCCCTAGAAGTGGTATTGCTGGGTCAAAGGGTATGCACATTTTTATAGCCCTTTGGGCATAGTTCCAAATTGTTCTCAAATGGGTTGGATCAGTTCACAACTCTAGCAACAATGTACCAGTGTTCCACTTTTCCCACATCTTCTCCAATATTTATTATTTTCCTGTTTTGTCATGTTAGCTAATCTGATAGGTGTGATGTGGTACCTCAGAGTCGTTTTGATTTGCATTTCTCTAATCAATGGTGATTTAGAAAATTTTTTCATATGACTGTAGATAACTTTAATTTCTTCATCTGGAAACTGCCTGTTCATATCCTTTGACCATTTATCAACTGGGGAATGACTTGTCAAAGTAAAATTCTAATGAAATGGAGGGAAATTCTAACTACATACTAGGTGCGTATTTTATGTGAATGAAACAATGGCCAAAAAAACCCTAAAGAATTTATATGTAGTATATAGATACTAACACTACATGTGTAATCTCTTTTCTGTCCCTCAACAAATTCTGTCCTTGTTAACACAATGAGAAACTAAAGAATTCTTTCTTTCATGTTGGTTTTATAAGTTTATCTACCAGTAACAACAAGTTTCATGAGTTTTTTCTTGTCATTTTTTTCCCTTAGAATTTCACTGGGCAAAATAAATAAGTATATAAACAAAGAAATAATTAAATAGAAGATTCATTCATACTTTCTCTGAGAAAAGAATTGGGAGATCCACAACTGAATAATGTAACAAAAATGAATTTGATTATATTTGGATAGAAAGGAGATTATAATAATAACACTTATGAAGTTAGGGCTTTAAGGTTTACAAAGAGCTTTATAGTACTCAAGATTCAATCTTGTTTTCCTGATCCAGGTTCCAATACTTGATCCACCTAGATGCCTAAAAATGCCTCTTTAGTGATATGGGAATCATTCCTGAATCAACTGTCTTTGTGTAGGCAGATCACTAATTCATAAGAACAAAAATAAAAATTTATATGAAGTTGGAAGTGGGAAATAGATATGCTTACCTTTGAAATAACCTCATCCTCACCTATTTTGTTGTTATTGATGATGAAAAATTTGATATGCACAGATAAAAGGATATAGACACAGACTATAATGATACACAGGAATTTAACAGATGAAAATAAATGACCATAAGAAGAAGATCAAAGAAATGTAAAAATTTCTTAGTTAGCAAACACTTGTTTACTTGTTTAAATGGATTTACTTGTTTAAATGGAAAGATACAGTTAGTCAGGGAAACATTGATTTAGAATATAAACCCAACTGTAAAATATTATATAGATGATCAAAGACTGAACAGTATTGTCTCATAAAACAGAGGAGCAATAAAAGAGAAAAATAAGTTTAAAGAAATTTTAGTGAAAGATGCAACTAAGAGGACATCTAAGGATGAAAATAGGACAAACAATCAGAAGAAAATAGAACATCATCAAGAACAGTTGAGCCACCATACTTGGAAACTAACATTATAATTCTGCCTCTTTTTTCAAATAGTAGAAGTGGTATTCAAGAAAATCAGGATGGGAAAGGTATTTGCTTTATTCTGAGTATACATAGAAGAGCTCCCAGTTGGAAGTGACACAATTTTGTGAGCATCATAAGGGATTAATTTATGAGATATTGGAAGTAGGAGGAAATACAAAAGTTATGACAAAAGTCTTGGACTTTATGGACCAGGACTGAAAAAAGGTGACTGGGAGGGCATCAGAAACTATTGAACTATAGGCTTTCTTTCCATTATGTAAGAAAACTATATGAGATTAATTTACACATGGAGAGCATCTTGATGAGAACATTAGTAGGGAACAGGCAGGGTTGGCAAGCAATATTCCACAGATTCCACACTACATTTTTATAATCACACATTTGACTAAAAGATGTAGTGAATGAAAGATCTTGTATTCATTGTTTGTTGGGTTTTTTTTTTAAAGCATTTAATTTGGTTGAGCAAAATGCCATTTTAGAGGGTCTCTTGCAACATATGCACATAATCAAAGCTGATAATTATACAGTTTTTTAATAGTTTTCAAATTGCTTTAAATATGTTATCTCTTTCTCTTCTTACAACAACCTTGTGAAGCAGGTACTTCAAGTGTTATTATTCCCATTTTTAAAGATTAGGAAAGGGAGGCCTAGAGAGGCAAAGTTAGTTATCTGTGGGTTATACAGCTAGTAGGTGCAGATAGCTTTCCAATCCAGGTCTCCTTGACTCTATGTCACAGGAGTTGCTACTATACCATGCGGCTTCCATATTACATAACTATAAAATGATGTCATTAACCCATCTTTTAGCACTTTGAAAAACAGTCAGCTACAATATAAATAGAAATATACTTAGTTGAAAATTCTCTTTGTTTTACATAGCAAAAATAATTGGTTATGATGATCTTATTTGCATGTATAAAATACATAACCCTGTTTAAAACTGCAATTTAAACTCAACAATTTTGTATGAATTTTCATTTCTTGAAACAACAACAACAAAAAACAACCCCTTAGATGATGTCTACAAAATCATTGAAAAAGAAAGTCATGTAACTTTCTGATCACTTGGGAACAATCTAAAAAAATAGAGTATTTTAGCCAAAAGCAGTTTTACTTTTTAGGTTGTCTTGAATTAACTTTCACATAGTCCTTAACTTCGCTTTGATGGGGTAAACCTGACTGTGATGTTATGTATATTAAGTATCTTTACTAACATTTAAAATCTGATCTCCTACATTTCTGAATCTTTTCTCACTCCAAACTATTTATTAATATGAATTTGTATTTTATTTTATTGTATATCATAAAAGGCTGAAATAGACCAACATATTTTCTTTTTCTTTTTTAGGATTGCATATCAGCAGTCTACTCACACACTTCATAAGCTATGTACCGCTGCTCCAGCATTTGTGCTGCCTACTGATTTACAACTTGCTTCTAGAATATATCACACTATAGACAAAAGGGGCCATGACACTTTTCTTGGAAGTGATAAAAGAGACTCTATACATGATTATATTAGGGATGAAAAAGAAAAAAACAGGTATGATTTCTCATATTCCAAAGCATTATGTTTAAAAATATTGTCAATATAAATCAGTTTTCTTTGGAAGTTGGATCAAGTGGGCCTGATTTAGTACTAGCTTCTCAGAGAGACTCATTTTTGTGCTCCACATTTTCTTTTATCTATAGGGTTCATGAAGATTGGCCTGCCTATTCTCCACCATTATTACTATGACTGTGTAGAAAGCTGGGGGAGAAAATATGGCCTTATGTAAGGCATATAATCAAAATCTGGGCACCCCACAGAAAAATCAGTATCAATTGACCTTTTGCCCAGCATTCTTTTGATACCCTAACTTTGCCCATAGGAAAAGAGCATAGGAGGAAACTTTTATTAAGCACCTACTGTGTGCCAAGCACATATTCTTTTATTTGATCCACACTACCACATTGGGAATGAGTGCTATTATCATCCCTATTTTCTGTTTGAGGAAACTGCAGGGATTAAATGATTTGCCCAGGGTTATACAGCCGGTAAGTGTCTGAGGTTGTATTTGAACTCAGGACTTTCTGACTCCTGACCCAGCACTCTGTCTCCTGTACCACTTAACTTCCTAGGGATCCATTTGTGTTTCCAGTGATGTGTCTATGGGAATAGGAATGATAATAAGTTGCAGCTTTGAAAACAACAACAAAATGAATTCAGAGAAAAGGGAGCTCAGTGGATTTTTAAAAGGAGATGAAGATGGTCAACATCAAATGGATATTTCAGTTTCCTTATTCATAGTTGTTTTAAACTCTAGAATTCACATTATTGATTAACTTTTTTGGAAAATATTTGTATTGGTCATTAGCTAATCATCATTTTAATCTGTTTGTCTCAGCTAAATATTGGAAAAATTCTTATGAGAAGGACTTTGGATATTTCAGAGCTGTCTCATCATCCCAAGTACCAAATAACTTTCCTTCATGTTGAACTGTCCTTTAGAAATGATGCAATGTTTTAGTACAAATAGTATTGTACAAATGACTATTTCTTTGTAGCTATACAAGTACTTTGACTTTGCACATTTCATTTCATACCATTTAGACTAGACACTCCCAAAACAAAGCTGATTGTAATTACTTCTCAACTTAATTAGTTGTGGAAAATTATTTCCAAATTTATTCCATTATACTTTTTAATTTTTAATTCAATAAATAATTTAAAAAATACTTATTTTTGTTTAAAATGTTTTATTGATGCTTTTAAAAATGTTTCTGCCATTTACTAATACCACATTCCCAGTAGAACCCACCATTGTAGCAAAAGTACTACTAAGCAAATAAACTGACACATTGTCTATATCTGACACCATATGTCTTATTCTGTACCTCTGGTCCACCACCTCTCTACCAAGGGAAGAGAAGCATATTTCATCATCAGACCTCTGGAATCATGATTGTTCATTAAATTGATCCAAGTTCGTTGGTTTTAGAGTTGCTTTACTTTAAATTGTTATGATCAATGTGTATATTGTTATCTTGATTCTGATTATTTCAATTTGTATAAGTTTATACAAACCTTCCCAAATTTCTCTTAATTCTTCATATTTATCATTTCTTTTGGCATAACCATATCCCATTAAATTAATATACAACAATTTGTTCACCTATTTTTCAGTTGATGGACATCTACTTTGTTTCTAGATTTTTTTCTTCCTATAGCAAAGATTATTGCAATGAATATATTGTAATATATGAGATCTCTCTTTCTGTCA